CTCTGGTGCAGGGTGAAGGGCCAGGTGAAGCCTCTGGCTGCCAACGTCCCAACTGTTGAGAGCTGTGGCAGGAGCCAGCCCGAGGCACCCAGTTCGTGAAGGGTTGTGCCTCACCAGCTCCAGCCGCGCTGCTCCCACGGCTGCTGGGACCGTGACGGGAGGGAACAGCTTTTTTTGCTGCGGCTCATCCATGTTCTGCTGTCCATGTTAACAGCCCTCTGTCCCCAGCAGCCACGCGTGACCTTGGGACAAACTGTGGGTTCCTGTCCCTCCCCCTGCATGGGAACTGCTGTGTCTTGTGCCTGCAGCCGGCTGAGCTGCCACCCGGCGCTCGTGCCAGGCAGGGGTTGGCATCCCGCAGGGGCCGTGTCCTCGGCAGAGACGCTGGCTGTGCAGAGCGGCGCCTGCGTGGGTGACTGCTGAGCAAACACCTCCCCTGTGCCCGTCACAGGCTGTGGCTTAGCTGTGCTCTGATGGCTTTTATCTTTGTGACACATCCATGGGCTGAAACGACCGGTCAGCCTGGGCTGGGTTCTGCTGGGAGACAGAAGGGAGGTTGCTCAGGAGCAACGCACCCACATCAAGCATGGATTTACTCTGCCCTGAGCAAAGCCCCTCTTGGTGCCTCCATGGTCAAGAACCACTCCAGTGTGAGCTGATAAGAAACTGTGGTCTGGTGCTCCCTGCCCCACAGCCCCACTCACTCTGAGCGAGACTCCGTCGGGGTGGGATGGCCCCAGGAGCAGAATGGCCACAGGTGCCCTTTTCTGGGTGCCACGGCAGGGCAGGGCTGCAGGTGAAACCTTGCTGAGTGTGTGCAGGTGCTGCAGCATCAGGGGCTCATTTTTCCTTCATACCACACACGTGCTGGTCAGACTGGAGCATTTACTATCGCCCTGACTGAGCTGCGCAGCTCATCGCTTATGTCAGAAGTTGTGCAAAGCTGTAAGATCTTTAAAGCCTGTGTGATAAGGTAGGCTGGAGGCTTAATTTTCTCCCATTGCTCATTAGAAGGAAAGTTCAAGCATCCCTGTAGTCTGTCGAAGAGCCGCAGAATCCTCACCCTGAAGGCCAGCAGCAGGAGCTCCTCTTCATCCAGCCGGGCAGGGGGAGGCAGCCGGCCGAAGTCGCTGACCTGGGGAGCAGAGGCAAAAGGTAGC